TTTAAGGAAAAGTCCCAAACCAATAGGTCTTTTATTGCATCATCAAAATTACAAATACATCTTAGTAATCATGTGGCATCTTCATGTGGCTGGACAACTCTTAGATCTTATTCATCAGCCTGCTGAACTGTTCCTTTTTCAGAGACATAGATACCATCCAAAAATTTTCTGATATCCTTGTTTTTAACTGTTGTGGCTTGCTGAATCAAAGCAGCCGAATTTGAAACAAGCTCAATGTCATTTCCTTCAAGGATCAACTCATCTTTCTGTGCTTGAGACACTGAACAAGCAACACCTGGCCTCATCCGAACCCTGTGGATGTATTTTTCACCTAAGAAATTTCGTATTTCAACAAGAGACCCATTCTCCTGGATAATGACGCTGATGGGAAAGTGAGCATACACAGACCTCATCTTGTAATGGAAGCCCAGTGTAACACCCTTGATCATGTTCTGTACATGACTACGAATAGTGCGCACGGTAGCCAGTTCCTTTCTATTTCCCCACCATTTGTCAACCCGGAGCCTCTTTTTCTTTCCGAGGAGACTAAGTTCTACATTGATGTGATTGAAGTCCCTCCGCAGGGTTCCTCTGGGACCCTTCACAATAACTGTGCGTCCCTTAAGAGTGATGTCAGCATTTTCTGGAATGTCGACAGTCTGATTGCTGAGAATGGTCTTCATTCTCGCAGCAGATGCGGCAAAGAGCGAAACCATAAGAATTCTTGAAGAAAATTTTGGAAATGTTGGAAAAACTCTTCTAGATATCGGCCTATGGCTAATAACCAGAATCTACAAAGAACTCAAGCAAATCAAGAAAAAAATCAAACAACCCCATTAAAAAGTGAGCAAAAGACGTCAACAGAATTTTTTCAAAAGAAGATAGACTAATGGCCAATAAACATGAAAAAATGCTCAGTGTCACTAATCATCAGAGAAATGCAAATCAAAACCACAATGAGATATCACCTAACCCCAGTGAGAATGGCCTTTATCAAAAGTCCCAAAACAATAGATGCTGACATGGATGTGGAAAGAAAGGAACACTTATACACTGTTGGTGGGACTGCAAACCAGTGCAACCTCTGTGGAAAATAGTATGGAGATTCCTCAAAGAACTTAAAGTAGACCTACCATTTGATCCCTAATCCCAGTACTGGGTATCTACCCAAAGGAAAAACATCATTTTATTAAAAAGACACTTGTACTAGAATGTTTATTGCAGCACAATTTACAGTTGCAAAGATGTGGAATCAACCCAAGTGCCCATTAATTCATGAGTGGATTAATAAACTATGCTGTATGTACACCATGGAGTACGAATCAGCCATTAAAAAAATGGATTAATACCTTTTGCAACAATCTGGATGGAACTGGAGACTATCCTCCTAAGTGAAGTATTGCAAGAATGGAAAAACACCACATGTACTCACTATTACACTGGAACTAACTGATCAGCACTCATGTGCGCAGATGGAAGTAAAACTCAATGGAAATCACTCAGGTGGGAAGGAGGAGGAGGGGATGGGTGAAATCATACCTAATGGGTATAATGTACACTGTCTGTTTATGGGCACACTTACAACTTTGACTGATGCGGTACAAAAGCAATCCATGTAACCAAAACATTTCTACTCCCATAATATTCTGAAATTTAACAAAAAAAGCAAAAAAACCCAAAAACCAAAAAACAAAAACAAAACAAAAAAACCCCAAGACACACACACACACAACAAGGAAAAAACCCAAAACGTAGGACAAACATTCCCTTTCCAAAGGGAGAGAGAGGCAAAAAGAAAGAAGTAGCTGGCCCAAAGCAAGTCTGAAACCCAGCAGGATAGACATTAAATCTTAAAGCTCCCAAATAATCTTATACTCCATGACCACCTCTGGACACACTGAAGTGTGGGGTGGGGCATGGGGGTCCCAAAGCCTCAGGCAGCCTTACTCCCATGGTTTTTCTGAGTGTAGCCGATGCCACTGCTCTTACAAGTTAGAGTTGCACACTGGTATGTACAGCTTTCCCAGGCAGGCATTGCACACTGCCAGTGGCCCTTCCATTCTGGGGCCCCAGCAGTGACCCTGACCCCACGTTTCTGCTGGACATTCCTCTAATGGAGGCTCTCTGCAGCTCTGCCCCTGCAGCAGGCTCCTTTTTAGCCATGTTGATCTCCAAAATAGTCTCTGGGTCACTCCTGTGGTTTCCTTTCCTGAAAATGCTCTTTCATTCTCTACAAGTTTTCCAAATTTTTATGCTCCACTTCCCTTTTAATTATAAATTCTGTCTTTAAATAAATTATTTTATCTATCATTTTACTTTAAATAACCCAAAGCAGCCATGTAACATCTTGAGCACCTTGCTGCTTAGATTTTTCTCCTGCCAGAAATTCTAATTTGTCACTCTCAAGTTTGGCCTTCCACAAAGCCCTAGGGCATGGACACAATGCAACCAAGTTCTTTGCTGCTTTGTATTAATAATTAGGATGGTCTATGCTCCTGTTCCCAATAAAATATTCCTTATTTCCATCTGAGACATTTTCAAAATGGCCTTTACTGTGGACATTTCTTACATGATTCACAACCATGTAAGTAATCTCTAAGAAGATCCAGACTTTCCCAAGTCTTGTTTTCTGGCCCTCACCAGAATGGCTTTTAATCCTCTGTTTATAGTAATCTAGGCTTTTCCTAGCCTGCTACTCCAAATTCTTCCAGTCTCTACGTGTCGCTCAGTTCCAAAGCTACTTTCACATTTTCAGGTATTATTGTATTAGTTGTAACAGCCCTGCTTCTTGCTACCAATTCTCTGTCTTAGTCCATTTTCTTTTGTTATAGTAGAATACCTGAGACTGAGTAATTTATAAAGAAAAAAGATTTATTTGACTCATGGTTCTGGAGGGTGGGAAGTTCAAGTTCAGGTGGCCTCATCTGGCAAGGGCCTCATGTTGTTGCATCATAACATGGGAGCATGTGCAAAAGAGACAAAACATGAGTGCTGACCTTGCTTTACAACAACCTTCTCACTCGTTAATTAATCCAGTCCCGCCAGAGCAAGAATTTCCTCCCCCAAGATGGCATTAATACATTCCTGAGGGAAGATCCTTCATGCCCCAAGTATCTCTTAAAATTCCTATCACTTCTCAGCACTGTTACAGTGGGGACTAAGCCTCAACATGAGTTTTGGTGTAGACAAACCATATTTAAACCATAGTAACTACCAAAACTAATTTCAAAGGTCTTGTGAGGCTATGGAGTGGGCCACAGACACTGAATCACTGAGACTCTCCAGATCATTTTTGATTAGATGCCAACTGTTAGGATTTTGAGATGGGAAGACGCTGGTTTATTGAATTTTATTGTATTCACATGCACGGAAAGTGCTGGAATCACTTAGAATGAGAAGATTGTTATTTTGGAGAATGATTTTAGAGAACTACAAGAAAAGAAGAAATTGGAGTCTTTAAGGACAGACTTAAATGTTTAAATATTTTTTATTTTTATTGCTTCAAATATTGTCTCTACCTCATTTTTCTCTCTTTTCCTGGGACTTTGTTTATGGTTATTTTAGACTTTCTTCCTGTATCTTCAATCTCTTATCCTTTATTCTCCATTTTTCATCATTTTTGTAGAAACATTTGAAGTCCTAGAGGGGAGTCTTCTTCCAGAGAGGGTTTCTATATATATATATTTATCTGTCTGATAATCTGGGATTATCCTATTCCATTTTTAAGGATTAAGATGATTTGAAGCTGGGCTCTAGTCTTTATGTCGTTGACCTCTGATA